ATATACACATTGCACAGATATATACACACATATATATAATTTTATATATATATAGATATCTAGATCTATAGATAGATATGTATATATATATATATATATATATATATATATATATATATATATATATATATATATATATATATATATATATATATATATATATATATATTTATATTAAGGGTGTCACGATCCTCCAAATCCTCGATTCGATTACATTTTCGATTCTAAAGGCACGATTCAATTTGATTTTCGATTATGAATAATTAATTAATTAATGACCAATTAATTATTTGTAGCCTACCGTTTAAACTACCTGACCTGCATGGTCTTTGTTTTACCCATAAACAAATCATACAGTAAATGAATAAAGGCAAGATACACACATAATTACCACCTGTCAATCACTTTTTCTGCGGGACTCGTGAATAGGCAGTGATCTGTGTCGTTATAATGGCGTCGGTAAAAAAGACGCACAACCAACAGGAATCAGCCAACAGTGTCTGAGGTGTTCGCTAAAATGACTAAGTACAAGTGAGTGAAAGATTGAAGCAGTCCTCTGACTGCCTGGACCTGCTGTCTCAAGATAGAGAGGAAGGAGGGCTGCTCAGAAATGCTACACGCCACTGTGGATGTCAAATCGTTGTCATTCTAAAATGCCATTTAAAAACAAAGACAGTGTAAACAGGGCCTGAGTGTGTACTTTTCGCGAGCGGATTTGCAACGGGGGCGGGCGGAGGATCGCGATGCCGGTGTTGTCTATCGGACGAACCGTACGTAATACGTACATAGCAGAGCTTGCAAAACTGTGTTTTTTTTGTCAACAACACGAACGTTGTCAACATAACTCACTGGAAATCCAAAATGCTTCCACACCGGCGACTTCATTGAAAGAGGAGAGGGTTTAAGTTCTGTCGACGGGTCTCCTGTATCTGCAGTTCAACAAGCACTTCAACAAGCCTGTTTCTTTCCCACTTGGCAAGCCAAGCTGATGTGACATGGGGGCGTGGCAGCATCGACGATTCTATTTTTTGATTCGATAATCAAAATTGAGCATAAATTTCGATCGTGACACCCCTAATTTATATATATATATATATATATATATATATAGATATATTTTTTTTTTAGGACAACAGTTTCTGAAACAGAAAAGATATCCAAATTTTTAGTTTTAAATAATAAAGAAATCTGTGTTTTTGAAACTAATAAAAACAGCAAAAGTCAATGATTCATTTAAATGATTTAGCCTGACATGTTTACTGTTCCTAAATATTCTACAAGTTTCTCAACATAAAATATATTGTATTTAGAGGGGGGAAAGTTGCTGTTTTTTACCCAGACATTTAAACAGAGCATATTTTAGAGTAGTGAGCACAATATCGTGAAACCGTGATATTTTTATCCAAGGTTATCATACCGTCAGAATCTTACACCAGCTCATGCCTAGTCGTAACATTAAAATAATATCACTTTTAAAAAGATCTTTCAGTGACCTGTTTTTTTAACTAGGGCATGCAGGTCTGCCAGACAAAAAGAGGTCAGAATAATCACTCTTGCTCTCGCAGTCAAGCTTAATGAGGGGTGAAGAAGCTTCAATCTTTTCGTTGCCTTGTTTCCCGTTTGGTCACAGAGAGTAAATTCATGACACCGTCACTTCTCCTCATTCACCCCGGGCCTCCATGCTAGCTAACTGAGCCTTTTCTGTAGGAAGGCATTCATACCATCTTATCTGAGCAGCTAAATTGCCACACAGTGAACTGACTGGCCTCACAGCATCATTCTAGCTGCAGGTTTTTGTCTTGGGAACAGTAAAAGAGTGCTGTGTTTGAACGCTCCTCCCATTCAATGTCATGATGCCCGGCTCTAAAAACATAGTGAAGCTGAGCTGATGTTTATTAGGTAAGGCTCATCTTAATCTTACCAGAAAACAGAACAGTTTTACATAGTGGCAAGAAATTTGTAGAAATGTATGCAATTTTATTAATGTAATAATGCATGGCTTTTTCGAAAGAGGCATATCCCTCACGCCTCATTCACACGGGGAGTCAGCATCAACGCTTCCAATTCACTTTGAATGGGTGACGTCAGGCATTGCCGAACTGCATTGTGGATCCGTCGGCGCCGCTTCAGAGGCGTTGCTCGCTGCAGAAGTTGGGACTAATTCAACATTTCAAGCGCTGACGGAAGCGTCAGCCAATCAGATCGCTGTATGCGAATACATCAGCTAGATGTATTCGCATACAGTGGCTTATTGCTGACTGAATTTCATTGGCTGACGCTGCTTTGATGATCGCTTCAGCCCCAACTTCAGACACCCCCTCTGTCAAGCGTTGACACTGAAGCCCCGTGTGAATGAGGCGTAAGCCCCACCTCTAAAATCAAGTATGGAAGATTAGATTTGACCTTGTACTTGTACTTGAGATGTACTCACGTTAGCGTGTTTCTACAAACTCTCCCGCTAATAAAATAGTTCTGAATGACAAAACGATGCTTCATCAGTTGCTCAAATGTAACACCGGCATAAGAATTAAAGCCACTTTCTCAGTTTATACAGGTTTAATGGTCTTCTGAGTGTGCTGAGAATGTTATATGATCTCTGTTATATTCTCTGATCAACATTGCTGTGTTGTTCTTGGTGCAGGTTCTGGAGAGGAACATGCGTCTGGAGTGTAAATGTCATGGCGTGTCTGGCTCCTGTGCCACCAGAACCTGCTGGACGACCCTGCCCAAGTTTCGAGAGCTGGGATACATCCTCAAAGACAAATACACCAGCGCTATCCATGTGGAGCCGGTGAAAGCCACACGCCACAAACGACCAACCTTTCTCAAGATCAAAAAACCATACTCATACCGCAAGCCCATGGACACAGACCTGGTGTACATCGAAAAATCCCCCAACTACTGCGAAGCGGACCTGCGCTCCGGCAGCATCGGGACTCAGGGGCGTGTTTGCAATAAGACTCTGATGCACCATCCCAACGGCTGTGACCTGATGTGTTGTGGCCGAGGGTACAACACGCACCAGTATTCACGTGTGTGGCAATGCAACTGCAAGTTCTTCTGGTGCTGTTACGTCAAATGCAACACGTGCAGCGAGAGGACAGAGGTGTACACCTGTAAATGAGCAACCACTTGTTGGACCTCGTTTAAGCAAAGATCACCTTTAAAAAGACGGCCCAGTCTGGTGGCATTTGATTTTTTGCACAAGACCTAACTCTAGACGTGCTCTCTTCACTTTAATGGACGAGCATCAAAGCTTTACTCTGTAGAAAGAGTTGCTCATGACGAGGAAGATGTACTTCAGAAATGCTGAATCCAGTCTGGTGTCTGCAGGATCCTGAACCTGTCTGGATTATCTGCTCTACTCTACTGATAACAACTACCTGCACCTTGATTTACCAGTGGACTCTTGAGGCCTCATTGTGATGAAAATTAGGGACTCAATAGAGATTTTAACAATTAATCCAGGGGTGTCCAATCTCGGTCCTGGAGAGCCGGTGTCCTGGAGAGTTTAGCTCCAACCCTAATCAAACACACCTGAAGCAGCTAATCAAGCTGTAGACATACAAGAAACTACCTGGCGGGTGTGTTGAAGCAAGTTGGAACCAAACTCTGCAGGACACCCCGGAATCAATCCAACAGAGCACAACAGCCTGGTTTCCGAAGTAAGTCAGAGATTGTCATATTTGTTTTTTTGTATACTTTAGAGATTGGCAGTATGTAAAAGGTATAGATAAAAGCACACACAACTAAATTATGTTTTATTAACAAAGTAGAGGAGCATGTTCAGATAATTAAACTGACCAAACTCAAGACGAGCACAACTTATAATCAACCAACTTACAGTTGTATATGTAGAGCTGACCTACCTCAGTTTCCTGACAGACAATATTCCGAGCTCCAATCCTAATCAAACACACCTGAACCAGCTAATCAAGCTCTTACTAGGTATACTAGAAGATCTCCAGGCAGGTGTGTTGAAGTAAGTTGGAGCTAAAGTCAGCAGGACACCGGCCCTCCAGGAACGACTTTGTAAACTCCAGGGCTAGAGCATTCTGTAGGCTTGTTTCAGTGTTTCGTAGGTTGAAGGTTGCTAGGCGACCAACAACCGTTTTCCCAGAGGATGACAAGCTGACAAAACTGCTGTCACTCAAGCACTGCAGTGTTTGTGTGTTCTGTGTTTATTCACCTTATTCTCAGCTGTCGAGCGGGCGCTGCCATTTGAATCTTTTTGTCTCGCGACTTCCGGTCACATTCACTTCCATTCATTTTTTGACGTTAACAACTGCTCGTTACGCTGCTTTATGTTGCAATTTAATATTTTCTTATTATATTATTCTACTTGGTCTGTGTAGTCATGCAAACATTTGTTTGTTGAGTTAGTAGTTTGGCCATTTTCTGCCGTTTATTATTCCTAGTCATTTCTCCCATAGGCGACTGAATCGGAAGTTCTAAGACAATCGCGAAAACAGGCGCACTTCCGCATTTTAGAATAAGGTCAATATGCGAAAATTAATCTTACCTAAATATGAATATTCCTTACAAGCTGAAGCTGATCGGTCAATTCTTGTCACGTGACTCGCGGTAAGCTTGAGTAAGGCATTGGCGCGAGCGCGTCACTTCCATTGGAAACAACAAACTTGTGCAAACTCTAGAAATACCCGATATGCGAACAGCCACTAAAAAGTCACCGTCATTTGCGATCTCCATCAGTTGATCTTCTTGCATAGTCATGCTGGATTGACCTGATTTGTTGACAACTGCGTTGCGAATCCATACCTTGGCAGTTCGTGGGTCGTTCACTGGGTCTTTTCCCCTTAGTAAAGACACTCTCCAAAGACGTCTGTTTCTTACTTATTTTGCTACTTGTGGGTTAAACTTAGACACTCAAGTGACCGAGACGTAAGTGAGAGAGATTTGGACAATATTCAAAATAAAAGACTTTTCAAAATAAAAGATGGTTCAGACTCAGATAATAAATAAAATGAAAATAATTAATGATTTCTTGTGCAGCCCGGTACCAATTGACCAACGGACCGGTGGTTAAGGACTACTGAGCTAGGGGATAAAATGAACTAAGGCAACATGACCATTCTCCTAATTGTCCACTGCTAAGAAATGTTTAAAATATGACGCAACCCCTCACAGAGCTCGCTGAGGCCCTCTTGTGGGCTGGGACCCCCTTGTTGGGAACCACTAGGCTAGAGCAGTGGTTCACAACTATCAGCCACAATCGGGTCCTTATATATTCAGTTGTTTTGATTTCTGCACTTTTGGTGTAACGTCCTCTTTGCTATGGGGCGGCTCTTGATTTTGGCTTTAGCTTGTACTGTGATGAGTACTATGATGCAAAATGAGCTTTACTTTTTAGTCATTCATATCAAGCAATTTGTCATTAAGAGACAGTACTCAAATCAAGTGCTACTAATTTTAAAGTAAATGATTTTGTTTAAAAACTATAAGCTGTGCTGCATCCCAATTTGCCTACCTATACTGCATTCAAAAGATCTCTTGTGTGTTAAACAGAAGAGTATGCAAGTTATAAGACATAGTACTTCCTTGCTATTGGACCATTGTGTTCCACATAGGCTCATTCTGAAAACGTAGCCTATATACATTTCTGGAGATCGCAAATAATGTGGTGGATCTGGTGGATTTACACAAGAACAGCAGGTGCGAATGGAACTCGCGAGTGAAATTTGAGATCTCAAAAAGTGTACACACCGGCCTCTGGGGGATTCGTGAAAATAAAAATTGCAAAAAAACGTAGCTCTTGGGACGTATTTGGCACTCTCCAGAAATGTATATAGAGGTACATTCCACATGGGCTCATTCTGAAAACATAGCCTGTATACATTTCTGGAAATCATGAATTAAGTAGCCAGAAGTATGTATGGCTGCATTTCGTCTTTAAATACGGGGCGGTATGACGCCGTTCCTTTTCGCGCTTACCAGCTGACTGCTTGCCTCCGTATGGACGGCTTTCTCACTGTTACCAGTTTGTCCAGTTAGCTTGAGACTCAAAGGAGTTCACCACAACAACAGGGTTCGAGTCCGGTGAACAGTTCCAAAAAGCAGATAAGACAAAAACAGAATCCCAAAAATAACCATAGTAAAAAAACAGGGTGAAAATGTGGTAAAATCTGAAAACAGGGTAAAAATAAGGTGAGGGCTGTTCTGTCGGTTGGGTTTAGGGAAGTGGGTGAGCGGGTCAATCTGAGCTTTAGAAAACACTATTGGTTGGGTTTAGAAAAGGAAAAGGGTGGGTCAGTCGATCGGTCAGTCAGTCAACAGCAGCCTCTGGTGGATTTACACTTGAACAGCAGGCGCGAATGAAACTCGTGAGCGAAATTTCTCAAAAAGCATACACAGCGGCCTCTGGTGGATTCGTGAAAACAAAATTTGCAAAAAAATAAATAAATAACGTAGCTCCTGGGATGTATTTGGTGCTCTCCAGAAATGTATATAGAGGTACGTATTCAGAATGAGCCTGGCATGATTGTGTTGGTTAAGCCTGGTTTATACTTCTCGCTTATAGTTCTTTCTGAATGCTTCCGGGATGTATAAGTGGCTTAAACTCGCTCATTTTGAGGCAGGAACCGGGGGATGTGCAACAACTTTAACTATGAGGTAAACACAAAACAAAACTTTCCATCCGGAGCTTCTTCACTGGACTCCACACTTGTAAACAATCGCTCCATCGGGCTCGCGCCACTCTCGGTCCCGCCCAGACTTGTCAGCGCTACCAAGCCGACCAATCACAGAGCTTGCACTAAGTGTTGTTGTGGCATGTAGTTCAATTTTTTGAGAGGTGCACGTCAGCAACGCCGATGGCCACAGCGTAGGGCTATGCGTCGAGGCGTAGGCTGCGCCGTAGCATACGCGTGTGTTAATCAGCCTTCAGTGGACACAGCACTAGAGTAGCAAAGGAATAAGAAAAGTGTGTTATATTTAGTTAGTTGCTTATGGAAAAGATTTGTTTTTGATTTGTGGAGATTGTTCCACCAGCAAGAAACAGTAAACAAAGGATATTATCTTTACTGATAGTGTAAAACCCTTTCTAGACAGACCCACACTGAGCTTTGCTGTTAGGGTCTTGCAGCAACAATGGAGCATTTCCATTCCAAAGCTCCTTTATTGTGAAAGAAGGTTCTTTATATTATTGAATTGTTTTTCAAAAGTTAATTATTTTCCTGAAAGTAGTTCACTGCAAGTTTATTTGGGACATTGCAGCAAAATCACCTTTAGGAACCTTAGAAAAAGTTTTACAATTATTCTGAAGTCAATTCGAAAAGATAATCGCTGCTCTCTGGGGAGTGATGAAGCAGCTCATTCATTTTCTTTTCGTCTTAGTCCCTTTATTATTATGGGTTTGCCACAGTGGAATGAATCGCCAACTTATCCAGCATTTCCTTTTATGATATGCATCCTATCTCCGGGAAACATTCATACACACTCATTCACACACATACACTGTGAATGACCCAGCCGAGTCTCGAACCAGCAACCTTCTTGCTGTGAGGCAACAGCACTGCCTACTGCACCACTGCGTCACCCTATAAAGCAGCTCTACATTCTTAAATTACTATAAATACATGCGAATTGACACAATTGGATTTTGCATACATAAAATACGTCATAAATGCAACATATATATAGAAATATTACAAAAATGGCTGCTGGCATACCATTAAAATTTTAAATATGATCATATATGGTCATATGAACACATATATCAGTGTTTCTCAACCACGTTCCTGGTGCACGTTTTGGATGTCTCCTTTGTCTGTCACACCCATTACAGGTTTTTCAGTCTCTGCTAATGAGCTGATGATCTGAATCAGCTGTGTTTGGTTGAGGATACATGAAAAATGTGCAGAGCTGGTGGTCCTCTGGGAACATGGTTGAGAAACAGTGACATATATAACATTATAGCTAATTTATTTGAACAACTATGTAAATGCAGTTGGTTATATTGTAATAGAATTCTAATGGTTGAAAAAGCAGCTATTTTTGCATACATTTCATTTTATCTTTACCATGATGACAGTAAATGATATTTGACTAGAATCTGCAAGACACTTCTATACAGCTTAAAGTGACACTTAACTAGGTTACTTAGGGTAACTAGGCAGGTTAGGGTAATTAGGCAAGTCATTGTATAACGATGGTGTTATCTGTAGACTATCGAAAACAAATAGCTAATAATTTTGACCTTAAAATAGCTTTTAAAAAATTAAAAACTGCTTTTATTCTAGCCAAAATAAAACAAATAAGACTTTTTCCAGAAGAAAAAATATTATCAGACATACTGTGAAAATTTCTTCACTCTGTTAATCATCATTTTGGAAATATTTAAAAAAGAAAAAAATCAAAGGGGGTCTAAAAATTCTGACTTCAACTGTACATTGCACATGTGGCGTTTATTTTATATATGTGAACTCCAAATGTAAACTTGTATGCTATTTATGTAATTTGCATATATTGTCAGACTTCTATGTGGGATACAACATTACTCAGTATATTGTAGTCACTTATCATTTTGGTTTGATTCTATTTGATTTGTAATGCTGAGATTCCTCTTGAAGCTGGTTGATTTGATGTCTATCGAAATTCCTACAGAGCAACCGAATGGGAGGACCAAGATAGCTGCCGATCGCTGTTGTGCTCTGTTGTGTATTTCTTCCAACTACTGATTTTATTTATTTATTAAAAATGCTGATATCTCTAATTCAAGAATAACCGCGGGAAACAAAACGTGTGAGTCTGGGTTGATTGCATCTCTGTTAATGAATGCTGAATTTATTCACCGAGCTTTGTATCGTCTGAAAGAACAGCTTTTTGTAGTTTACACAATGCAATATTTTCTTCTTTGAGAAATGTCATGTATGCTGCTAGTCTGGAATAATCACTTGTGCTGTATAATTAAGAAAAACTACTGACCACAAGCTTTCTGTAACTGGTGTAGTGATGACTCCAGACGTAGACTTTACACTGAAAATATTGGTAAGAGAGTTTATTTTGTGAAAGAATATTTTTATATGAATGTTTTATTTATACTTTGTCATTTCTGAAAACCCAATGCATTCCAGTTGCATTATGAAATCATTGTAATTTGCTGGTGACAAAGTCGGAGTGTGGATGTTAATTATTAAAATCAAGCTTAGATCCAATGATGCAGATGTGGTTGAATTCATTTGAACAAACCCATGACATGTGACAAGATTCAAGCA